ATATATAATTAAAATAAAAATAAAAAAGAGTTATAATACAAAGGATTAATACAGTTTCGACACTGTTTATATATATATATAAAACTTACACTGAATTTGGGTTGTTTAGTTGGGGGATTCGTACTCCGATTTAAATTATGGTTCATGGTTCGCTATAGTGTTTTCTCTCATAAAAAATACACGTGTCTTGCCTATTCAACCAAAATACTATTATTATTATTATTATTATTATAATTATTATTATGAATAATAAGAGAAAATGAGATAAATATTTTTTAAAATATATAAGTCTAAATTTTTATCTCTTATTTTTTATTAATATATTTTTAATTAAATAACTATATTAATCAAAATGAATTAATAAAAAAATAAAGAATAAAAAATTAAGACCCATGTATTATTAGTGTTTTTTTACTACTGTTAGCGCTGTACACGATCTTATCCACTTTATATATGAGATTTTTTATTTTTTTATTTAATTTTAACCTCTTATTCGTTTGTTTTAACTACTACCAGTTTATAACTTCCGATTCCGCAGAAGAAAAGTATTAGACGTCATAATTCAATCCCTATTTCTGCCAGAACTTCACAAACTTCAAATTTTTTTTTTCGGTCTATTCACTAATTTCATTATTAAATGTGCTGATATTTACCCTTAAAAAAATGTGCTGATATTAAATTTTTTTTACTGGTGCTGATGTTGATTATTGAACTTTATAGGTTTTCCTTTTTGACTAGTGCTGATATTGATTATTATTAATAGTGCTGAAATTTAATTTTTTTACTAGTGCTAATATTGTGTATTGAACTTTATAGATTTTCCTTTTTGACTAGTGCTGATATTGATTATTATTTTCTTTATAATTTTAATAGAACTTTTCTTTGAAATTACGTAACTAATGAGTACAAAATAAAGTGTTAAAATTAAAATATAAAACGTTTATTAGATATTTTCATCCAAAACTAATCATCACAAAGTCTTTTCTAAAATTTGAAGTTGTTTCTAATAATTTTCCCTTAAATTAAATCAATAAAAAAATCTTGTACATACCTCGATGTGTTTAATTGTTAACTATTAAAGCACTATAAACCTTTAGAAGCAAGCAAAACTCTTAAAAAAAAAATAATGAGGATTGATAGAAAACTACTTAAGTGATACATATGAGGGAAGAAAAAAAGATGTTTTAGGTGTGGTACATTTGAGTAAAATCATTCAGTGCAACAATTATAGATGAAAGGATTTATAAATTGTCCTATTTGATAAAATAATATTTTAGAAAATCATAAGAAAAATATTTATGCAAGGATGTATTAAAAAATTATTTTGCTAGAGACAAACTACAAGAAAAAATTATTGAAACGAGACATGTTTAAAAATATAAAATTTTAGGAGAAAATGACACCAAAGGGGGGGACCAAAACAAAAACGTAAAATCTTAGTGGAAAAGACAGAAAAGGGAAACAAAGCAAAAGCTATAAAGGGCGAGAAGCCAAAAATAAATAAATAAATAAATAAAATAAAGAAGAGAGAAAGAAAATGCGGGGAAAAAAAAAATCAGAACGAGCGTTTCAACCATGACATTCTTTTTTTTCTTTTGGCAAAAAACACACAATATAAGAGATTGAATCTTCTATATATTTATTATAGAACTAAAAGTAAATATATTCTAAAAAACATTATAAATAAATTATTTATTTGGATTATTTACATCCACACCTCTTAAATTTTAGAGACACCTCACTTTAGCTCTGAGCATTAAGTGAACATTTGGTTCACAGATTTAGAATCATAATTCAAGATCATTCTTAATTTACGTGTATTTTTTATGAGAGAAAATATTATAACAAACTATAAATCATGATTCAAACTATAACACAAATCCTCGTACTAAACACCCTATAAAAGATCTCACTACACTAACCCAATTGTCAGAATCACTCAACTACTTTGGGGGCTTTGGATCCAGTGGTGCAGCGAGACACTTGGTGGGGCATGTGCCTGGTTCGGCGTCTGGCGATGGTGACACGTTTCTCTCACTCAGTGGTGGGGTGGTGCTTCTCTATAGTGTTCTCATCTTCTTCCTACACTGCGCTACCTTGGCCCTTTGGTTGCTTTGATCGGCTAGTGGTCTTGTTCGTGTTGCCGAGGTTGCTTCTCCGTTCTGTGATTTTTGTTTGCGTAGAATAAAGGCAATGTTGTTTCCATCGCTTGGATGTTGTATTTTGATTATGAGCTTTTGTTGTTGCGTAATAATAGAGGTGGTCACTTTCTGAGTTTAATTGCATGTCCAATCTATAATAGTTTGTCCTTTGTGGTGTTATAAACCTTTGCATTATGAATCTCTTGGTCTCGATATGATTATAAAATTAATGTTAAAAGAGTCATTTCTATGCTAAATTATTGGTGTAGAACTCGGTGCGCGCTCTACCTCTTTGTGTGTTTTATTAAAACTTTTTAGTGGATTTGCTGCACAGACGGTGTTAAGTTTCCTCACGTTACGAAGCTAATCTAGTCAGCATTAGTATGTGTATCTCACAGAAATACAATAAACTTTTTAAAAAATAAAAAATAAAAAACTAGCATGCTACTGTTATTAAATGGGTATATTTGGCAGTCTCTTTTAAGGTGACGAAAACTGCTATTAAGATTTTTGTTGACAACAATCAATCCATAGTGAAAGGTATTCAAAATCTAAGGTATCGTTCATTTCACTGATTCAAGTTTTCAATTTTAAGTTTCTACAGTACAAAGCTCTTAGAAAATGTCACATCTAATTTTTTCTATTACAGTGCAAAACTCTCAAAAAAAATGTCACATCTCAACTCAAATTAAAAACTCGAATCCACAAAATGAACGAGGTTTAAATTTCTATTAATGCAATGCGCGTTCACCACACTTTAGGAGAGCTCTTTGAGGACTTAAGAGTGAAACGGTATCAAGAACTTCAAAGAACTAACTGAGTTTTTTTTTTCCTTTATTTTTATTTATTTATTTTTCCCTTTTTGGATGAAAATTAAGAAGTATCCAAGTTGCATCTAATGTCTAATGAAAACCGTGCATCCATGTATCTGCAGTCTCTTTCTAGACCCTAAATCCTAAACGGTGCTACTACTTAATTTAGACAGTAAAAATAGGCCGTGTTTGTAATTAATCTTGGTTTTTTTTAAAAAAAAATATATATATATTTTTAAAATGACGTTTGGCACAATAAAAATAAAAAATAAAAATAAAAATAATTTTTTAATTTAGTGTAAAATGAGAGAAAAATAAAAAATGACTTTTAATCGTTTTTCATTTTTTATTTTCGTTTTCTCCTCTATCGAGCAAAGAGAGAAAAAGAGACATTAATGAGTTTTTTTACACTGAAAATAATCTCTTGATAAAACTACCAAACGCATTTTTACAAATGATTTTTGTCTGAGATTGAAAACGTTTTCATTTTCATTTTCATACAAAAAATAAAATCATTTTGAAACGAGTTTCAAACACACCCGTAATGTCACAACAACGCGCTTCATAATGCCATTTATTTAATTAACTACACACAAATCTTATTTAGAAATGCTCACACTTAAAAGAATAGATTGTATTATTCGACACATTCGAAACAAATGGGCGCCTTAATTCACTTTATGCACAGACCAGAAAGGCCTCAACTTGCATTCTCTTTTTCTTTCTTCTTGTATACGTCAAATAGCAAATTAGCATTGCGACCGCCTTCACTTATTTCGACAGTCGCTAAGACATGACCTGTAAAACCAGTGAAAACTATTTAAACATAAGCCGGACTAAATCATGCAATTATCGCATACCGTTTACTATGTTTTGCATCCAATCTTTTAAAACTAATCAGAATCAGTCTCGACCTAATTATCGATTTTTTTGTTACAAAATACTTGTATGAGGAAAGGTCTTTACCTAAAATGAAATCACTTTGTTAGTTATAGAATTTTCCTCTTCTTGAGATAGGAATACACAAGGAAAAATCCCAGAACAGCACCAGCAATAATCCCAGCTGTTGTTAGCCAGAATGCAAACTGCATCAAGAAAAACAATCAGCTAATCATAAGTAACATGGACAAGCGGCAATTGCTCAAGGATTGTTAGGTTAGAACTAAACTAACATACCACGTGCTCTTCAAGATAAGATCTCAAATTCATGCCGAATAGACCTACAAAAGAAAACAACGTCTTTAGACGAGTTTCAAGCTGATAGATTGGATATATATATATATATATAACTCATAAAGCAAAATTTGACAGCCTGTAAAAGTGATCATGGGCTGTTCGGCAGCTCCTTTCTTGAGTTAAAAATTTAAAAAAAGTAACTCGAGTTACAATTTTATTTAAATTCATGTTCTTTTAAGTTTGAACTTGAGTTTGAAACTAAAACTCGAGTTTAAGTCTCCTCTTCAACTCGAGTTCAGAAACTCGAACTTAAATTAATGAACAGTATTTTTTATATTCTTAAAAATGCTATAACTTTTTCGTTTAAATTCTGATTGAGATGATTTTTTTTTCTATGCGTTGACAACGAAAAGACAAATAAAACCCCATTCATATACCCTATTAAAATTTTTCATCAACATTGAGTTTTTATTAAAATATTATCTAAATATAAATTTAAGTTTTGACTCATTCAAACACAAACTTAAAAAGATTATCTCAAACCATAACTCAAATGTACACAATCAAACACAAACTCAAGTTATAACTCAAACTCAACTCAAAATTTATATTCAAGTCACTTGACTCAAAAGTAGAGAAAGAACAGCCCCAGATTTTCAACTCATCTATTCTTCTTAGCCAAAATAAATAATAAACTTCCGTAAAGTTAAAAAGAAACTAAAATAATAATAAAAAGAAAGTACCTCGTTTAGCGAGTCTGAACAGAGATTATGTCTAAAATATGTAATATAATGAAGACTATCAAGAGATGACATTCATGGGCATGGTACAGTATTCTCCCCCTTTTCTTGAAATTATTTATTTATTTTATTTTTAAATACAGCTAGTTCCCATGAAAGAATGACATAATGTTATCCGTCTGGACCAAACATTGTCAAATAAACAACCAGTTAGACATGAAGAATTATAGGGCTTGTTCTTTTAGAGTTTAATTTGAGTATAATTCTTGAGTTAAATTTGAGTTATAACTTGAGTTAAACTTAAACTTTAATAGGGTATATGGGTCGGGTTTTATTCGTCTTTTCGTTGTCAACGCATAGAAAAAAAAAATCATCTCAATCAGAATTAAAACGAAAAAGTTATAGCATTTTTAAGAATAGAAAAAATACTGTTCATTAATTTGAGTTCGAGTTTCTGAACTCGAGTTGAAGGTGAAACTTGAACTCGAGTTTTAGTCCTAAACTCGAGTTTGAACTCGAGTTTAAACTCGAGTTTAAACTTAAAAGAACATGAACTCGAATAAAATTATAACTCGAATTGCATTTTTTTGAGTTTTTCACTCAAAAGAACAAGCCCATAAACACTTAAAGTAATCGGGTCTTAGCTTCTTTTCTATGAATTGTTGCCAGTTAAAAGCGTACCTGCAACTAAAGCGCCAACTCCTACGCAAAATGTGCCAACTTGAAGGAGCAATTCTACCCTGCTAACCTCAAGCCTCCGAGAGCTGATAAACAGAATGAATTAAAATCAGTATTATACAAATAATATCCCATAGCCGCTGAAAATAATTAAAAAAATATATATCTCTTCAGTTGTAGTTCATTTAGCTAGTTTACTGGAGGTATTAGGAAAACTGGTCAACCTTCTATTTTAATCGTGTTATCTTGATTACTCTAAATGCAAACTATTGAAAATGGAAGGAAGACAAGTGCCATTTTTATTATTAATTTTATCCAACAATTGTTTGCATCCACAAGTACTAGGCAGAACAGACTTAGTTGCAATGTACCAGTTTAGCAACAGAAAATGATGAGACAGCATACAATGTATAAACATGGAAACAACAATATTGCAAATCCAGAAAAAATAAAATTTTCCATATACATATACACAAAATATCATGTCAAGTTTTATTTTCTATTTTCTGTTTTTTATTTCAGTTGTTTTAATGACAAATAAAGTAATTCTGGAAGGAATCCTAGTCTATGTTGGTTAAGACGTGTTGTAACCCCTTCTCATGCCGTAAGTTTTCTTTTTTGAAAGATCTTGCCACAGTTTTTCTACTGACAATAAGTTGGGGCTTTTACCTTTTACTTTCCACATATAAGAGGGTATTCATGCTGAACCAAAGTAACTTATTTTTTGACAAATAATTCAAAGTAACATTGATAGCCATGAAGCGAAGCATTATTATCGCAATGTTCCGACAGAAACTGTAGAGCAAAATAAATAGAATAAGATTATCAAGAACAGCATTGAGACCTCAAATTGACGGCTATAGAATCTTCCATTTCCTTTGCAGAATCAAGAAGCCTTTCAGCCTGACCATGACAAGACTCACATCGGCAATTAGAATACAACAGTGAGGTCAACTTCGACAGACATCATAACCACCGTTATACGAAATATGTTCCTCAATATCCATGTCAAGATAGTAACTAACTAGAAGCTCTCAAACCAATAAATAAACAACTTCAAAGCTTTGCATTTACCCAATCAATTCCATTATATTGAGGATATAGGTCGGTAGCACATGCAGATTCATAAAGCTTTCCTAAAAAACCAACTTGTGGTCAAGTGAAATGATGTAAAAATCATTTCTTCAATTCAAAGGCAATTGAAGTTTCCCCGGACTAAAATGACAGGCACAATACATTTGCATGAATAAAGACGTGCGGGGGGTGTTGCAAATGATATAGTGAACCCACACAGTGCATAGGCAAGGCAAAACTTTGTTGTCCATGTACAATATTGACATAAATTCTCAAGACATTTAGGTAAACATATAACAGAATGATCAATTGGCCACAAAATATGCATGCACATTTTCCAGGCAGATGAAATAGGATGGCTAACCTTTGGAGATAATTTTCCAGAAGCATCTCAATTTCTTCTTCCTCTTCTGTATATAACAAGATTAAACCAAATATAAACTTATTATAGTGACTGTACATATAAGAATGTTGCTAAGAACCAACAATTAGTACTTTACCCTCAGCAATCTGCTTTTCTAAATCAGCAGCGCATTCCAATTCTCCAGTACCCTTCTTAACTGTGCAGTTCCGGCCCAAAATACACATACGGCATATTTCATCAGTATCCTCCAAAAGATCAAGAAGCATTTGTCTGAGAGCTCCAGCGCGGGAATCCAGTTCAACCTTCCATGGAAGAGAGAACATTTAAGATAAAGAATAAATGTGTATGCTACTAAAGAAAGGTTACTTGCATGGATAGTTTCCATAAACTATACCAAGGTCTGCTTGCTTATACGAAGTTGCTCCAATATGTGGGCCGTTAATCGATTTGGTAGAATCTCAAGCAGCGCTTGAACCTGAAGGGATAGAAAAAAGGAAATGTTATATCCACTGAAACGATATTATCAACCAAAGACTTGGTACATACTAAATGGTGGAACAGCAAGACATGTTCAACTTTATGATGAAAAACAGAGAGACATAATTGTTATATAGAAAATTAGCTGATCAGTTATGGTATTTCTTTGTCCTATTACAACAAAAAAACACAAGAGTACCTTGCCAAACTGAAAAGGTCTTTTAGAATAGTTAGTTTAGCACTTGCGAAAGCAACTGAAAATGTAAGGTTTCATGAAAATATTGACCCTGACATTTTCTTTACCAGGTTTCAGAATTGATATGTCTACACAAATGGATGAAAAAATAGGATTTATAATAAGTCCCTAAGAAAGAAATGAAAAAGGAAAAGAGAGCCAAAACATTAATATATATACTCACTATGTTTCATTACTCACACGAGGTTCTAAATCCATTAGTCTCTTCTCTAAGCGCTGTATCCTTGAAAGCAATGCTGCCTCCACGACCTGAAATTACCAGCCAAAGCTTTTTGAGTGCATTTTGTTAGGACTATTAGTTGGCAAATTTATTGGCAAAAGGTTGTAAATTCAAAAACAAAATCAGTAAGATTGTGGGCTACTATAGAGACTCTATTTTTGGTTACTTGCACTGGATTTGTGATGATTTCCTCAATAAAAGGAAATAAGTTTATGGAGCTGATTTGGTTGACTTTTGGTGGCTAATTGATGTGGGTTGTATGGAAAGAATCTGTGGGGAAAATGTGTACAAATGAAAAAGTGATTTGCTGCATAATTGATTTGAAGAGATATCTTGGATATATTTGATTTGGAGTGTAAATGGTATTTATCTTGGTGCCAAAATAGTATATGTTGCATGTGCTCTGCAAAATAAGTGGAAATCCGGATTGGTGTACTTTGGCTATATATTCATATGTGTGTACGTGAGGGTGTGTGGCTTGGAAGTGAAAAAGTGGGTTTTTTTTCTTTTATGGTTTTAAAAGCAATTCAATGCCATATTATGGGGCATGGGTTTTAGAGATATATTTTCCAGAAAAAAATCTGTGAGATTGTGCTTTTGAGTGTGAAAATATTCTGCAGAAAGAGCTGCTTTGATGTTCTTTGGGAGAAAATAGAAAAAAGGTGGTTCTTCGAAAGGAGGACGTATTGCTTTCGGGAGAAAATTTTCAAAGATGAGTGGTACTCGCTGGACAAGGCCTCTAAGAAGATTCTACACAGTGGCGACAACATCAAAGAGGGAGTCTTTGAGTGTGTAAGACTGATTGGTGTTTGTAATCTCTTATCTTAGTGGATTGTTCACTGTATGGGCGTGACCCCGCAGATGTAGGTGTGCGCACCGAACTACGATATCAATTCCTTGTGTCTTTTATGTTTCTGTTGATCTTTCTACACTTATAATTTGTTGTTGCTGAATCAAAGAAAAAATATATCGATCTGCACATATCTGTCATCAGTGTTACAACAAGTGTTATAACACTCTTTGTAACACTGACCGAAAAACGGACCTTTCAAATTTAATAACCAAAAAACATGAAATGAAGAAATAATTACATATGATGAGTCTATTTGACAATGCTTTCTCTTCTTTCGCTCGAATAGATAAGGTTTTTCTTCATTTAAAAGTAGTTCAGAAGTTTCCACCAGGAGGACACACATTTATGTCAAGAATCAATAAACAGACAATTTCCAGCACCAAGCAAAAGATTACACAAATCAAAACGCACACCTCTTATCACTTACAGATCAACATGAAAAGAAAGAAGTCTTAAAATAGAAAACAAACCTCAAGCATAAATGGCATTGATGGTGCCCCATTTATGTTTTTGGGGTTCAGTCGGGGCAACAATGTTTCTATAAAAGCTTTCCCACCTTTACTGAAAACAAAAAGAATAGATGACACAAATCCTGAAATGTTAGTATGCTCAGAATGCTGCGAAAAGAATTAAGAGGATAAAACTGGAAAACAAATTTACAGCCCTTTTTTTCTTTTCTTTTTTTTCCTGAACTTGACAAATTTACAACATGATATCAACTATAAAGGAGATAAAGCTCACCGGTTGTAGTCAAATATAAGGACATGTTCTTGCATCGCAATTGCTCGAAGTGAGCCTAGATTAAGAAGAATAGCATGTTCACGGACCTAGGAGATGAATCACATAACCAAATTTGTAAATGTAACATTTTTGGAAAACAAAAAAACAAGATACTGGACTTTCATGTTACATCCGGCCACAGTACTATAATAGTAAGTTCCGAAGGTAATTAAGGACCAAAAGCATTTTTCCAGGCTAAACAATATCGCAATACAAGTTGATACAGAAGCACTTTAGTCGACGAGTAGTTATGTAACAAACAAAATTCATATAGTTTCATCCTCGTTTCGTCAGAACAGTATCATCCTTTTCTCGTCCTGGCATTTTCCAGTCCCTGCCTTCTTTTAGGATGCACTTCTTGTACTCCATTGACGTTTTTTTAGTTTACAAGATTGCTGTGTCATTTTCATGTAAGAAAGAAAAAGCATAGGCATGTCCAAAAGCAAAGAATAAATAAAGTTAAGAGAAGTTCTATTCAAATTTTGGCTGTCATATCACATTATCACGCTTACAGAAATGCATGATACAGTACGTAAAAATACACCATTAAGCATGTTTGTAAATAACTATATATTAAGAAGAAAAAGATAGCTAAAAACTCTGCAATTAAACAGCGTAGAAAGAATCAAAGCAATCAAGAAACGAGCAATACCAGCAAAGAAGGCACAGAGTTCGTCAAAAACAATGATGGGTCAACACTCCGAATATCACGCGGACGAAGCCCTGGCAATTAAATTAAAATATTGGTTAGGCATAATTAAAAAAAAAAAAAAAAACAACTCATAATGAAAACGGTCCTTTATATATACCCATTTACTCAACTTACCGATTCAAATTTTTAATTTTAAATTTTTATAGTTTAAAACTCTCAGAAAATGTCACATTTAATTTTTTTTACTACAATTAAAAATTTTTAAAAAATATTACATCTCAATTTAAATTAAAAACTTGAATCTCCAAAGCGATAAAAACCTAAAAAAGAAAACTGCAGAGATACAACTATTTCTTTATATATATAAAAAAATAATAAAACAAACCAAAATTGCTTATACAACTCTGGATGGTAGATAAGAAAAATTTAATAAAAAGAAGTGCAACAATTGGGAAAGATTATTTTAATTTACTCACCACTTGACTTGAGTAACTGACGCCTGTTGATTTTTCTAGTAGCTATAGCTCCATCTGACTTCACTTCTACCACCTAACAACAGAATTTCAAAATAATCGTAATTTAATTAATGTTTTCTTAAAGCAAACATATTTAATTTGTTGCCAAAACGAATTAATTAATGATAAATTAACCTTTATCTCTGTGGAAGATCACTCGCACAACGTGCCTACCACAAATCGTAATCTCTAAACTTTATCTCTAACATTCGGAGAAACTCAAAAACAAAAACAAAACAAAAAAGTATAAATAAATACATAAAGTGAGAGACCTCGTAGACCGGTTCGCGAATCCCGAGAGAGAGAGAATCACCAAACGACGACGTGGATCGATCACCATTCCGGTCTTCGACTCCGACCTTGGAATCGCCGTGGCCGTCCGATCTGACTCCGCCGTATCCAAGGGCTTCTGAATCGTTCTTCCACTGGTCCTCCTCCGTCGACGATCGGAGGCATTTGGTCCGCCATGAAACCCTCACCGCAAACGGAGCAGCGAACAATGCGGCGCAGAGCTCAGCCTTCTTCCGCGGCGACAGACAGAAGAAGAGCGAGGCCGGCGCTGACGCCGACGCCGGCGACGGAGAGTGAAGCGGGAGCTGGAGGATGTAGGGATGAGGAGGAGAGAGAGCCATTGACGATGGTTTCGGACATGAAAGATTCGGAGGTCGTTGGTAATGGTTTCTGTTGTTGCAGTTGTTGTTGGTTGCTCTCTGTAAAAAACAACGAACAAATAGCCAAATGCGGGAAGGGGTATAATTTTTTGCGGATAATATGTCATTAAAATTTTTTGAAAAAAATGAAAAAATGAATCTCAACTTTTAAGTCACTCTCATTTAAATTTTATTACAGTAAAAAACTCTTAAAACAGTCACGTTTAATTTTTTTATTATAATAAAAAATTTTCACATAAAATTACATATTAATTTAAATTAAAAACTCAAATCAATAAACTAAATGGATTCTAACTATTTACTCTTAATAAATATTATTTTATTAATGTAATTTTTTAACTAAAAAAATTATAAATTAATAATAAAAAATAATAAATTTAAACCATACATTTTTAAAGAATATTTATCAAAATTACCCTTCATTTTTTACTTAAAAAAATAAAAAATAATAATAAGAAAAGAAAGAGTTTTGTTTATTAATTGTTATTATTATTGACAATTAATCAGTTATAATGTAACAAAAAATAATAAGTAATTTCAAGTAAAAATAAAATTAAATAACAAAAAAAAGACAAATTGTTATTTATTTTAATCGATCTTAACGATAGTATCTTCCTTAAGTTTTATCCAGCTCACTTTTTTTTTTTCTCCAATTCTTAATCTGTCCAATTAACATTTTGGACACTTTTAAACACTATATTGTATTTTTTAATATCGGATATTTTCATAATCATGGTAAAACAAAAAACACATAAACTAATATTGTTTTTGTATACTACTATAAAATTTATATTTTGTAATAACCATCTGAAATGTAAAATAACGTGTCATGAATAGTAAAGTTTTTCTTTTTCCTTATAGAAAAATGCATAGCATATAGTTAAACCTTGTTGAAACTTCTAGCAAAAAAAAAAAAAAAAATCCTTGTTGAAACATCAAAAGCAGTTAAACTTTTATTTTAAACTCGATTTCTCTTTGACTTGTAATTATACTGAAAATAATTCGTTCAATTTCTTGTCCTCTGTAGATCCAACACTTTAAAAATAAGGTCGATGTAGATTTTTATTTTTATTTTAATTTTCTTTTGCTGAATAAGATCAATGGTTGTTCACCCTTTTTACTGAATCAGATCAGATTAGTAGGTTGCCAAAGATTTTTAGGTGTTTAATTAAAATAATTAACCGCCAAGGCGCCAACAACAATTTGAATAAACAATTTATTTGCTTAGTTTTAATTAAAATAATACACAGGTCCTATACTTATTTGTTTACTTTTCCAACAATGGTTAGCAAATAGATTATGGATTCACTTTAAGCGTGGTATTATAATATTTGACATTAATAAAACGAGCATCGTTTTATCCTTAAAAAAAAAAAATCTCTTGAATGTTAGTTTACCAATAGGTCCTGAGTTTAAACTCTCATAATTGCACTCTTTATCTCTATTTAAAATTATCATTACGTGTTGAGTCTTTATATATCTCGGGCTTAAATATTAACGTGTTTGGCTTTCTAATTAATTTACCCACACGATTGTCCATTGTCCAGCCCACACGTGAGGGAGAGTGTTAAAGTATAAAATTATTGTTAGCCCACCTCTTAATAGTTTAAGCTTTTGGGATGGATTGGTAAAGTAACATGGTATCAGAGCGGAGGTCCTGAGTTCAAACTCCCGTAATTGTACTTTTTATCCCCATTTAAAATTGTCATGTGTTGGGTCTTTAATATATCTCGGGCTTAAATATTCACGTGTTGGGCTTTCTAATTAATTTATCCACACGATTGCCCATTGTCCAACCCACACGTGAGGGGGAGTGTTAAAGTATAAATTATTGTTGATCCACCTCCTAAAAGCTTAAGCTTTTGGGATGGATTGGTAAACTAACATTAAAAAAAAAAGAATTTTCCTGATAAGATTAAAAAAATAAAATTATTAGTAATTTCATTTTTTAGTCATTTTAAAGTATTAAAAATTATTTATTATGTATATTTTATTAAATTTCATTTAAATTTAATTAAATTTAATTGTCAAAAAAAAAGAAAAGAAAAGAAAATTGAAAACTTGTGGCTGGTTACTGATCATGACTTTTGGGTTTGAGATTTTAATTGCCTAGTGCCACGTAGTAAGGGACACTTGGCTTGCATCTTCTGGCTACTGGTTTCTGGCGTTTCAAAAATAGGGAGAAGTCAATTTATGAAAGTGATGGTCCGTGTTTGGAATTCCAAACACGCCCATGGACTTCCACATCTTCGGATCGGCTACGTACAAATTGGTCTCTATCATTTGAGATTAGTAATTTCGCTAGTTTTATAAGCGCGTAAAGCAAAATAACATAATTATTTTTAAAAAGAGAAAGAAAAAAAGACATAAAAGAAATGAGAGAAAAAAATAAGGGAGAAGTCAATTTATAAAAGTGATGGTGGTTAAAAAACAAGGGTCGTGTTTGGAATTCCAAACACGCTCATGGACTTCCACATCTTCGGGTCGGCTATGTACAAAGCACTCTCTATCATTTGAGATTAGTAATTTCGCTAGTTTTATAAGCGTGCAGAGCGTGCGTGATTCGTTAAAAAATAACATAATTGTTTTTAAAAAGAGAAAGAAAAAAAAGACATACAAGAAATGAGAGAAAAAAATAGGGGAGAAGTCAATTTATGAAAGTGACGGTGGTTAAAACATGGGTCATGTTTGGAATTCCAAACACGCCCATGGACTTCTACATCTTCGGATCGGCTACATACAAATCGGTCTCTATCATTTGAGATTAGTAATTTCGCTAGTTTTATAAGCGCGCTGCGTGATTCGTTAAAAAAATGACATAATTATTTATAAAAAGAGAAAGAAAAAAAGACATAAAAGAAATGAGAGAAAAGCAAGAAAAATATATGAAGTGAAATATAGAGAAAAAAATATTTTAATTTATTTTGTTGTACTTTAAATTAAATTTATTTTGTTTTGTTTAATTTGTTTTTTATTTAATTTAGTGTGATTTTATTTTGTTTTAATGTGTTTTTGTTAAATTTTATTTTTTATGCGAATTTTTTATAGTATTTTTATATGAGTTGTATCAGAAATTTAGTACAAAACAGTGTTAAAATGGATAAAATCGGATCACAAATCAATTTAAAATAAATAATAAATAATAATAAATAAAATTGAAAAATATTCCGACCGTCGGATCGAGAATATCAACAGTTACGATGCGCGCATGCAGAGGTACACATAGGCGCGTCTAGCTTAGGGGGAGCAGCTTTAACGAGTGTATTTTATTTTAGTGTATTTTGTTAAATTTTATTTTTTATGCGAATTATTTATAGTATTTTTATATGAGATGTATCAGATATTGAGTACAAAAGGGTGTTAAAATAAATAAAATCAAATTATAAATCAATTTAAAATAAATATAATAAATAAAATTAAAAATTATTTTGGCCGTCGGATCGAGACACGCATGCAGTGGTAGGGGGAGCAGCTTTAACGAGAACTCAAAGGAAAATATACATAGTAAATGGGTATTTAGGAAATTAATTCCTTTGAGATCTCGGTAAGATTTTCTATTTCCCTTTCAAGTGCAAATATATTTTCTTTTCCAAACTGACTCTTAAATCAAACTTTAAGAGCATCCCAATGCAATAATAAATTAGTTTGCCAAATGTCAAAGTTTAATTTTTGAGTGTGAAAATCTCTCTGCAATGCAACACTGGTCTCAATGTTTAAATTTTAATATGCTACATTAATATAGCATGCACCAAAATTTAGCATTTGATTGCTAGTCTACTTTTTTATCATTGCAATATTGGTATTTTTAAATTAGATTAAAGTTAAAAATTTATTTTTATAACTTTTAAAACTTAATAATTATGATTAAAATAAATTTAATATTTGAAATAATAGTATGCATTCGAGTCAAACGACAATAACACATTAAATATGTCATTTTCACATATTTTAGTATCAAATATAATATTAGCAACATTTGCATCGAAGGTGAATTAAAGAATAGTAAAATGTGATTTGAGGATAATTATGCTTCTCAACAGAATGTTTAAGGTGTTTCTGCTATTGAGGATATTCTGATTTTGAAATAATCAGTTCAAGTTAGAGGGACATCATCAAAAAAATACCTAGAAAGGACGTGCAAATTTAAAGTATTAAATTATAATTACAGGAAATGTTTGTAATCTGACAGCCGTATCAATATGACAAACATAAAATTTTATGTTTATCCGTGTAATATCATTTGAGTGTTTATGTAACACTCAATAAAATGTAATCGTTACATATAACTCGTTTTAGTGTTACTATATTACACAAAAAGTTACAAATTTTCCTTAAAATAAAATTACAAATTCATATGAAAAATATTATACTTACCACATGGTGCAGTTGTCAGATTTAAGATTGTTTTTTATAATTATATTAAGGTTATATGAAATTTTGTTTTGGCTAAGAAAAAAGAATTTGATGGAACTTGCTAACCTTCTCTAACTTCTCCGGAGTACTAATATATATATATATATATATAATTTTTTTTATATCCCAAACAAATTCTCCAAAAAGAAGCCTAAGAATTTTGGTTATCAGTGGATAAAGCAGAAACTAATTCCTCTATCGCTATTGATTGCAATTTGCAAGTATATACCACAATCAGGGAATAAAGTAGCCCAAGATGGGCCAAGATAATTCCGTCATTATCATCAAAGAAACAAGCAACTTCTACAATTACAAACAGGAGTAGAACTAGTGCATTCGGCTCTGAGAAGCACTGTTCATTGTCCATTGAACCTCTTTTTCCTGCAGCGTTTTTTTTTTAAATTTTTAATTTTTATACATTCTTTTATTTTCTTTCTTTTTCAAATGTGATACTGATATATATATCTTTCTCTCCTTCAAAAAAAAAAAAAAAAAATTTGTTTCTCCCATTATCTCGTTGAAATATTATATTCTCATATACGTCTCTCCCTAAACTTATTTTTGTGAAACCATCTCAATTCTCGTATACATTTTTTTAATACGTATCTAATAAATAATCTTTAACATATTACAT